GTTTCATGTTTTCTTGCTGGGTGTAAAACTGACACCCAAACCATCATGTGGCCAAAAAGCTTTGAGCTGCTTAAAAAGAAAATACATTTTGAAACCAAAACTTTAAGCGAGTACATCCATGAAATTTAATGTGTTGCATTGTTTTTGAAGGTAATTAAAACATATTGTGATGTTTATGGCGTATCGGGATGTAGCCCAAATATATCGTTATATGGAACGCCGTGGATGAGGCAGGAACGGATGAACACTAACGACGAAGGTGAAGCCTGAGAGGTGAAACCTGAAATGTTCTGCAGCCCCAGGAAGTGGAAGTCGGTGTGGCTTCTCTGATTTAGGGCTGTTTGGATGGAGATGTGTGGTTAGCTTTTGCTGTTGTCCTGGAACTCCTCCTCTGATGTGATCCAGATGTTGCTCCACCTCTGCTTAAACGAGACTCGGCACGCTCCCTCTCCAAGCTGCCGCCGAGGTCCGCTCGGTGATCCTCCTCCGAGTTTGGTCGTTGGGTTTTCTGTGTGAAGGTCGTTTGCTGCCCCTCCTCCTCCTTCTCACTGGTGGTTCCACCAATTTAGTCTTCTGGGAATCCCTTAGCCTCCATCCAACACACACTGCAGCACAGCCAATCAGCTAACAGCATCTGGGTGTGTGTGTTGAAGCTGTTCTCTGCAGATATGCACTCTCTCTCCTCCACGGTTTTAAAGTTAGCTGCAGGAATCGGAGCGATATCTCCAGAGCAGATCTGAGCCACAGATTCAGTCCAAGAGGCGCTGAGAAAATGTTCAGGTTTCAACCAACATCTCAGCGTGTCTCAGACTCTGAGAGCAGAGCTGTTAAAAAGAAGCTTTTCTCCACCGTTAAGCTGGTTTTCAGAAGATTCTGCTTAAAAATAAGTGCAGTTATCTGCCAAAGTACGGGGGGAACTTTGTTCGGTTATTGTCAGAAGAAGAAAAAAGCACATTTTGCAAACTTAAAAAAAAAAAAAAAAGAACTCTGAAAAAAAAACGTTTTTATCCAAAAAAGGTTTTGAGATTAATGGCTGTTTTTTTCAAATATTTTATTTATTTTTTTGTAAATTTTTTTTTCAAGTTTTATAAAACAAAAGCAGGTTGTATTTTTCTAGATCAAAGGTCAGGGATTAGCGGTCCGGATCCGGACCCAACCTGATTTAAAACATGTATAAATTACCGCACGATGTCCGACGGCGGTGTCGAACTTCACTTGCGCCTCTTCTCCTGTTAATACGGTAAAACAGCGGTCCCCAACCACCGGTCCGTGGGTCATTTGGTACCGGGCCGCACAGAGAAAAAAAAAAAAAAGTTTGAGTGATGTTTTATTTTGAAAAATATAAAAAAAAATTGCGGTATTCTCTCCCAATTTCATCAGTCGGTGCATCTGTGCCTCTTGACACAGGTTAATTCAGTTCAAGACTCATCCCATCTATAACATCCTATCTTTGTGAAGCGGGATTTTCTGCGGTTACAGCGACCAAAACAAAGGAGCAGACTGGACATCAGGAGCACACTTCGTCTGTCATTTTCCCTGATTACGCCTCGATGGGACCTGCTTGTTGTTTTATTTTTATGCTGGTTGGGGACCGCAGCGGTAAAGCCCTGGGGAGCGTCCGGCTCCAGGCTGCGCGTGATCCCAATGAGCCAATGAGCTGTCAGTCTGGGTTGCTGCTGCTGCTACTTTTAGACACAGCAGGCAAACCTGTGGCAAGCCGGGCGATGGGAAAGAAGGAGAAGACCATGAGAAAAAGAGAGCAGAGAAAGTGTGGACTGCTGGAAGAACTGCGGTGAACTGGTGAAAGAAAAGTGAAATGGCGTGCTCAAAGATGACCCTGCACATTTAGAGGATGTTTGGCTCAACCTGCTGCTGTGAAGCAGGATTCTCCACCATGAACAGAATCAACAATAAATCTGGATCCAGGCTCAAAATGAGCTCCTTGATATGTGCTTGAGAATGGCTTAGTCTCCGGTTAAACCCAGGTTTAAAGCCTTGCAGGGCAGCCTAAAGCCCACTGCCAACATTAAGACAGAAAAAAGAAAGAAAATAACAAACGATCAGTTCAGGGGTTTGAGAAAATATGGGAATCAGGAAATTATCTATAAACCAAACTGAACGATTGTTGTTCTCTACGTCACAAACCTAAACCAGCGGCGTCTAGAGAGACGAAGAAAGAGAAACGCGTTACAGTTGCTGTGGTTTATGTTTATAGATCCGCCTGCAGGATGGAAAATGTTCCTTTAACATCGTTGTTAAGGTCAGACTGTGTGACATCATCATGTTTAATGTGACCAAACCCAGATATAGAGTTTGTTTTAGGGGGCGACCAGCAGCACGCCAACAACTGATGGATCTCTATTTTGTTTTTACAGCTGCAGGCCCAGAAGATCCGCCTCGCCCGGAACCAGGGGCCGTACTACGGAGGTTCCTTACCCAACGTAAACCAGATCGGCAGGAACCCGCACGACTTCCAGGTGACCCACAAACACCCCCCACTCAGCTCTGATGTCACTTCCTGCTCGTCCGTCACACGCACTGATTTCTATTTATTCACTGGATCGCTGATTGCCAGTTGGTAGTACGGGGTTGAAGTGAAGCCGCTGGCCGCCATATTGGTACTCCCTAGTTAGACCGGTCACAATGTAAACAATCCGTTTGTTACAGCATTGAACAATGATGATGTTCTCATTTTCAGGGGGTTTAAGAGTTTTAAAATAAAGATAAATTCATCACTTTGACAAACACTGGCTGTTTCATAGCATCAGTAGATTAACTTTAACTTATAATAAAAAAATAGGCCCATCACATTTCATTATGAAGCCTATAGATCATGCAATAAAACATATAGAAATCCATCATCACAATAAAATTTATTTTTTAAAGGAGCATAATAATAGAGAGGTACCAAAAGTGCTTAATTGGTTATGTACATGTAATATACAAGTATTTATTATATTGTTACGGTAATTACATCTTACATGTCTGATAATCCTTCCTATTTATAAATATATATATATATATATATGCATAGTTGCTTTTTCTGTAAATATAACATGCAATATATTTTAGTACGTGATTTTTTTCAAATGAGAAACACAACAAACACTAAAAAAACAACAGCATCATCCACTTGGTAAAGAATTCCTACATTGACATTTCACAGTGAATTATTTTCTATTTCCTAACGTTAGACCCAATGTCAGTAGCTAACTCAGCCAGACTAATCTTAGTCTACAGACTAAACTATAGGATCCATCGGCTATAGATGGATTTATTGCTTAGTTTATCCACTGACTGGGAAATTACCAGTGGAACGTCTTCCTGCAGACAGAAAACTGCTGGTTTTTGCAGCTAGATGCTGAACAGGGAAGCATTTTACTGTGTTTCTCTGTGGGAGTGGGGAGTACCAAGATGGCGGATGGTGGCTTCACTTTTTTCGGACAATCAGCAATCCAGTGAATAAATAGAGGTCAGTGGTCTCACACCTAGCTGTGAATGTGTCGCAGTGCAGTGTTAATATGCCTAGCGCCCCCTATGGTCCCCATCAGGAGGTGCTGAGTTCAAGGAAAGGCAGGTTGAGTCCATCCAACCGGTCAAACCTTTTTTATCCCTGCCGCTGCGTCACTGCTGCACATCTGATATTAACAGACCTATACCCAGGTGGTTTGGTGACAATCTGGTCAGATATTTAATTAAACACATCAACCACCTGCAGACGTTAGAGGTTCGATAAACTCTGGTTCTGACCTGTTTCTGCTCGTCTTCAATCTAACCGGGAATCCGTTGAGTCATTGATCAGATACGTGCTCATTTTTCAGAAATTAACCAATCAGAAGCTTGTATTCTAATTAAAGGTATAGAGGAGGATGTTGTTTTGGATAATCGAAATAATTTGTCCTCCTAATCATCAATTATCCCAGGCCCAGGACAGAGGAGGGCCCAAATTAACATTCTGACCGTTAAGAAATATAGGCAGAAGTAATTTTTTAGAAAATATTTGGGATAAAAATATTTAACATTAGTGTAACAAAATGATTTTCACTTTTACTCGGGTAATAATAATTTTACAATGATTTCTTTATTCAATTTTGAGCGCTTTTGTGTTCCATACAGGACCCCTTTGATTATAAACTGGGAAAACCCAACATGTTGGATGATCTCGACCCGATATGATGTCATTTCCTGCTGAATCAGATGTCTTCATTTAGATAGTTTGAATAATGTGTGTCAACCAATCAGAGAAGCCGATTGCCCCCCTTTATTTTTCCATATATTAAGAAAAAGTGAGTCTGTTCTGGTTATTCCACTAAAATATTTTCTTGCTGCGCTGTAACTGATTTTGGTGACCTTACATTTAACAAGAGCATAAAATTTCTCACTGCAGCGCTTCAGGTGGCAGAAACACATTTAAAGCAGGTCTGCTTTCACAGAAAAAGGAATAGAAAGTAGCAGCTAGCATGTAGATGTAAACACGCAATAAGTTAGCACTTTAAGAAGAAGGCGGGTGTAAAACCGATTCTCTTTTCTCAACTTTTTTATTAGACTAGTAAGTTAACCCTTTGCTCCTAGTAAACAGTCATAGATCTTTATTATTTTCAACATTAGTAGAAGCAGAATACAAGCAGCTACAGGTCTAGCGCCCCTAGTGGCCAAAAGTTACACTGTCTGCCTTTAAAGTTCAACCTTTAGATTCAAAATAAAGAATGTTTTTCAAAAATTTACTTTTATTTCATCCCTTCTCTGAGTTTCCAGGTGCAGCTGAATCTAAGCTGCGTTAAATCCTTCAATCTGGCAGCTCATTGCCTTCTACGATCAATAAAATATAATCATTAATATGAGGTAGTTTACGTATGAGAACAGAAAGTGATGAACTTATTCCCTCTGATCTGAGGAAAAAAAATATCCAGATTTATCCAAAAATGAAATTTATGATGAAGTT